TTCTCGATAACATCTCATGATGTGTATAATGCAAAGAGAAGGAGGTAATAAATTTTGTTTAATTAAAATTTTATGAGGAGAAGCTTTGCTAAATGTTATACGACATAATGACGCACCAGATGCGTCACATATGAAAGATGGCATTTTCGGTTTACTTATTGCGGTTTACTTATTTGCTCGGTAAGATCGTGTGAAGAGTATAATTTGTGAAGATGAAGGTATTGCAATGTTATAGAGAACACTGACGCACCGGGTGCGTCACATTAGGGATCTAAAAATTTGCTGGAAAATCGAAAATTTAGAAATTTATTGAAGTTATTAATATGGTAACTTGATAATTTCACAATATGAAAATTTAATTTAGAAAATTAAAGAATTTTGTCATTATAGAATTTATTAAACTTGTGAATTTTGAAGCTGTGGAATTTAAAAAATTTATGAATTTGAAACCCTGAAAATTTATGAATTTGACACCTTGAAAATTTAAGAAATTTATGAATTTGAAACCTAGAAAATTTAAATAATGTACAACCTTCATCACTTTGTATCATTAAAAAATATATGAATAGACATTTGAAGAATTAGAACTCTGGAACAGACACAAATACTAAAATCTGAATAATTGTGCAAATTTGCGAATTTAAAGAACCCGAGTTCCCTGAAAACTCGTAAAGTTAAAAATCTGCAAATAACCCATACGCTCCCACTCTTTCCACAAAAGCTTTAACTCCACCATATCACAAATCATGCCAAGAGTCAACATTGGTACAACCACGTACAAAAAGAAAACACCTGTACCTATAAATAATTTATAAACATCGTACCTACGTCTACACGTGCGTACATGAAGAAGGAGAAGAAGAAGAACAAGAAGAAGAAGAAGTGGCGTGTACAAGATCTTAATCCCCAGGAGAGTTACATAATCATCGAGCAACAAGTGCGTTTTCACCGGAGCGTAACCTCGAATCGTTTCGATCCACGGTATCCGCGAACAACGGAATCACGTACACCCGGTTGCGGTGTACATTTCTTTTGGATGAAGATGATAGTAGAGTAGATCCGTGATACGAATCACGATGGTAATTCACCATTTGTTTCTCATTTTTAAATGACATATTTTCAAATTTCCAAATTGTAGAAGTTGTCACTTCTAAATGTTCAATTTTATAAATTGTGACATTTCTAAATATTCAATTTTATAAATTTCCAGATCTTCATATTTCAAATATACAAATCCAAATGCAATCCCCAAACCGTTAAATAGATATACAAATCCCCAAATCTTCAAATACATAAATCTCTGAATTCTTTAATCTGAATCTTCAAATTTCCAAATGTTGAAATTCTTCGAGTATCAAATTCTTACATTGGCAAATGTTCAAACCTTCATATTGGCAAATTCTCAAATTTTCAAGTCAAATTTCCAACTCATTCAATGTTTCAGACTTCCAAATCTCAAAATTCACAAATTCTCAAAATAGCAAATCCTACAATCCTATAAACAACAAGCACTACAATCACCAAATTCTACAAACAACAAATACTACAATCATCAAATCCTACATTCACCAAATCCTATTATATAATCACCAAATTCTACAATTACCAAGTCCTGCAATCTTCAAATCTCTGAATCACACAAATCTATAAATCCAAAAATAACCAAATCCTCATGTCTCCACATTACCAAAAAACTCAAGTTTCCAAGTTCCCGCCTTTCTACACCTCCATATCGCCAAATCTCTACATCTCCGAGTGCCCAAGACCCCTTTCCACCTTCTCAAAACTCGCAAACCCTTCACATCCCTAAATCCCCAAATTATTAAATCTCCAAATTCGCAAATCCCCAAATCTTCATATTTCCAAAACTCTAAAATCACCCAATCTCCGCATCCCTAAATTCCCAAATCCTGAAATCTCTACATTCCCAAAACTCTCAAATTTCCAAATCTCCACATTCCTAAATTTCTATATCCCCAAATTCCCAAATCCCCAAACCTGTAAATCTCCAAATACTACAAAATCCCCAAATCTCGACGTCCCTAAATTCCCAAATCCCCAAACCCCTAAATTTCCAAATCTCTACGTCCCTAAATTCCCAAGTCCCCAAACTCCCAAATCTCCACATTCCCAAATCTCCAAATCCCAAAATCTCCAAATTCCCAAATCCCCACATCTTGATATCCCTAAATCCCCAAATCTTCAAATCTCCAAATTCCCAAATCCCCACATCTTGAAATCCCTAAATCCCCAAATCTTCGAATCTCCAAATTCCCAAATCCCCAAATCTTGATATCCCTAAATCCCTAAGTCTCCAAATTCCCAAATCTCCAAATTTCCAAATTACCAAATCACCAAATCTCCCGATCCCCAAATCTCCAAATTTTCAAATCCCAAAGCTTGATACCCCTAAATCCCCAAATCCCTAAATCTTGATATCCCTAAATCCCCAAATCTCTAAATTGCCAAATCCCCAAATCTTGATATCCCTAAATCCCCAAATCTTCAAATCTCCAAATTCCCAAATCCCCAAATCTTGATATCCCTAAATCCCTAAGTCTCCAAATTCCCAAATCTCCAAATTTCCAAATTACCAAATCACCAAATCTCCCGATCCCCAAATCTCCAAATTTTCAAATCCCAAAGCTTGATACCCCTAAATCCCCAAATCCCTAAATCTTGATATCCCTAAATCCCCAAATCTTCAAATCTCCAAATTCCTAAATCTCCAAATCTTCAAATTTCCAAATCTCCAAATTACCAAATCTCCCAATTCCGAAATCCCTAAATCCCCAAATCCCCAAAACTCTCCAATCGCCCGCTCTCCACATCCCCAAAATTCCCAAATACTCCATAAATTCTCCTGCAAAATCTCCAACCTTCTCCACAGGAAACCCTGAAAACTTCTCCTATCTCCAGGAAAGTCAGATTTGCCGTTGAGTGTACATACAAGTACGGAATCCGAGCAGTAATTATTTTCGTGGCGTAACGAAGGCGAGACGGTTTCATGGTGGTGCGATCCCGACGGAAGGAACCGTAGCAGCGGTTAAATTTATCCTTCGTGGAGTTTCCGAGAGCTCGTTTTGCCGGACGGATACCTAAAACGCTCACACTTTCGAGAGGACTCTGAAATAGCTATGGACTCGAGCGACCAACGGCTCCCGAAATATCTAACACCATAGATTATGGGCGCGTGTACTCGCGAGTACGCTATTTTACTACCTGACGAATATACACGGTGTTCGCTGGCTACGAGATGAACTTTGGCAGTGTATCAAATACTGCGATTGAAAATTGAAGACATATGGCAAGTTTGATATATTTTTCGATAGGTTACAGTGAACGTTCGTGGTAGATTGAGAAATAGGGAAGTGGAGTTGGTACTTTCAATTTGTAGACTTCTTGTGATGTATAGTGATGGAGGATGAGATGATTTCGCAAGATTATTATCGATATCTTATAACTTTATATGATGTGGTGTTTTTGAGAAAGTAAATAGACATTTTGGTCTAAAAATAGTTCTATTGGAACTGGATATTTTATTAAAACTGAAACTATTTTGTCAGAAATTGAATGTTGTATCTGGACACTTCCTGACTTTCAGTTATAAAAATATTTTAAATTGAATTATTATGAAACTTAATATGAATTAGTAAATTCATTATAATGTGTCGATTTGAAGCTTAAAATTTTTTAGAAAGATTGTATAAATGTTTTAGCAAGATTTTTTATATAGAATGGCTGGTCAATTATAAGTACAGAGTGATCGATTTTGAAGTATTAGGGGTACCGAAAAGTAATCAAAATTTTGTTTACTGGCAAAAAACATTTATTTATTAAAGAAATCTTAAATGCTAATTAACAAAATAATTTCCATTTTCTAACGCTTTTTGCCAGCGTAAAGGTAATTGTCCGATTCCCTTCTTAAAGAAAGTCCTTCGATTTTTCATTGAAAAACTTTGAAGTCATTGAAGAAATTTTGAATACTTTTCGGTACCCCTAATATATGAAATTTGACATAATTTAAAGACATAAAGTCACTTCAAAATAATATACATAATAAAACAAAAATAGTTATGAAATCTTACAATGATAAAAACAGTCTTCCACGAATATTGATATCGATCTAGGCAAAGTGGAGGTTCGAGTACGGACACTCGAAAGCAACATTAATCACGATAAGATATATGAAGAACTCTTAACGAGATTACTTAACTACAGCGATTAAATCCTTGAAAATTGATTAAATCAACTCTTGATATTTTATGATTTTAAGAAATCAAGATAAAATCAGTAAATTCACTCTCGATTCACATAACCTAAAAATGCGAGGTGTAACACATACACGTGTATGTTATATTCATTTTTAATTCATAAGTACAATTGTTTTATAATTATTTACATTCAAAATTAGATGTAATCTCTGTAATGTTATTACACCTTGAAAGTTGTAAATTGAAGGAAGGAAAATTTATAATTATTTGCATTTTCAATATTTGGGTCTTGACATCATCCATGTGTTATACAATTTCATATAATTTTGCACATAAAGGGTTTTATCAAACACCTCATGTGTGTGTAACAAAATTGTCTATATAACATTAATACAATCATACAGGTTTGTCAAAAATAAAATTACTATTAAATTACTCCTACTTGTTAAGATTGAAATCACTCCTTTCTGAGCTTAAATTCTCAATTACTACAATTTACACCTAGTTCAACATGGCTTCTCAAGGCATCAGAAGCATCTGCTTAAAGAAACAAACTATTCCCAAATACGTTCCACTAATATTAAAATCTAATACTAAATTCAACAAATACTAAAATCTAATAAATTCCACAAATATTAAAATCTAAAACTAAATTCCACTAATATTAAATATAAAAATCCCAGTAAATAATTTCATGATGAATATCGAATATCTAAGACTACAATACAAGAAGCTACGCCGAATAGAATTAAATTAGTAGTGTAGTATAAGGTACGATGCCCTTACTTGAAGTAGAGCGATCACCAGACGCGTTTCACCGCTCTGCACGGCTATGGTGCTTATGGTGGTCGTCGGGCTGGTGGTTTGTTGCGGTGCATCCTCGTTGCTCTCCACCACCGTTCGTGATTCCTTCTCACGGGGTCCATCGCTATTCTCCGTCGTTTCCATCGAGTCGTGCCCGTCCACCATTCTCGTAATTCTTCTCTTTCGCGGCAAAACAGAACCGTTCTATTCGCGTGGATCGATTCAAGCAATTACCATCATTCTTCATTTACCCTAATCTTTCATCTTTTTTCTTATCGTGTATCTTTCAGATATGTTCTATAGGTGTATTCTTTAAATATATGTGCATTATGAAATACCTTCATATGTGCAATCGTCAAGTTCATATAGATGCATTTTTTAAATACATACAGGGACCTACACTAATTGTAAGACACCCTGTAGATGCTACCAAAAAATTGATGAAGCATAGATGCATCTTTTAAAATACATGTATAGATGCTTTCAATAAATTCATACACTATAGGTGCATTTTTTAAAATACATTGCTTTGACAAAAATTCATGTCATATGTTCACTTCACAGGTATACATATAAGTATTTTGCAAATGCATATATTATAGGTGCATTTTTTAAATACTTATACTATAAGTAGACTTTTCAAGTACATGTACCACATGTGTACTCTGCAGATGCATATGTTATAGAAATATTTTTTAAAAACATATACTACAGATACATGTTTTCAATACATGTACCACATGTGTATTCTGCAAATACATATGTTATAGGAGTAATTTTTAAAAACATACACTACAAGTACATTTTTACAATACATGTACCACATGTGTATTCTGCAAATACATATATTATAGGAGTATCTTTTAAAAACATATACTACAGGTACATTTGTATAGGTACATGTATAGCTGTATTTTTCAAATGCATGTATTACATACGTGTTTCTCAAATGCATGTATTACATATGTGTTTTTCAAATGCATGTATTATATATATATTTTTCAAATGCATGTACTATAACAGAATTTTTGAAATACATCTGCTATAGACATATCCTTCAGATACACACATAGAGACAGATCATATGTAGAAGTTCATATTGGTCTCAAAAATGAAAGACATGACTAAACCACTAAAGTGATATACATTGACCATCTTGATTTTAATAATTCATATCAGAAATCTATCAACAATAAACAGTGAGTCATAACATTTAGTATTGTCCATTTCTCAAAATCAATTTTCATAAACATTTCTCAGGAGGTTAATATTCGACTCTCTCGAAGGAGGCGGATAGATCAAAGTTGGTTCGAAAAGCTCCGGAATCCGAGCTGGTTTTCGTTGAAATACGGAATTCGATTGGCCTGCCTCCAAAAGCGAAACGCGCGAAGGAAATAAACGAAGGTTTAATAGGTGGCCGTCTATCCACGGCGAATTAGTTTCGACGTTGATCAACGTTCCGCGTTCCTGACCGTTCGCTCGGTGAACGCCACATAACTGGCGGAAGCGTTTCGGTCCGCAGCGAAATTGATGCCCGGCGACGTTCCATCTTCCTTCGAGATACACGTTCGCGTTGTACAGTTACCATTCGCTCTTTGCCGATTAACTAACGTTATTTTTGGCGATTCGCCAAACACTCGGATTCTGACGCGATAAAAAATTCCAGCCGATCGAGCCCGGAAATATGACTGGGTTGCATTTATACTTTGCTGAAAAGTGATGGAGTCTTTCGTATATTTAGAACGGGGCGGAAATTAATGATGGAAGAATGGATTACGTTTACATTTTCAGAGTTGAGATATTTTGTGAATTTTTAGAGTTAGGATGTGATGAATAGATTTCAAGGAGAAATGTGGTTGTACTTTTTTGAGAACTGATTATTTAGTAAATTTAAAAACTAAATTGTAATAATAAACACGTTTTGATAGAATTAGGTTAGGTTAAAATTAAGAAGGTTGGGATCAGTTAGAGTTAGGTTAGACTAAGACTAAGGTTGATGCTGTGGTAAAGGTGGATTAAGATTAAGGTTAGGTTAGATTACAATTGTGGAAGATTAAAGTTAGGTTAAATTACAATTAATGAAAATTACGATTAACGTTAGGGCAGATTACTGGATTTAGTTAGGGTTAGGTTAGACTAAGACTAAGATTGATGCTCTGGTAAAGGTAGATTAGGATTAGGACTAGATTAAATTACAATTAAGGGAGATTATACTGAAGTTAGGTTAGATTACAATTAAGGAAAATTATGGTTAAGGTTAGACTAAATTACTGGATTTAGTTAGGGTTAGGTTCGTATAAGACTAAGGTTGATGCTGTGATAAAGGTAGATTAAGATTAAGGTTAGGTTAAATTATAATTAAGGGAGATTAAACTAAATTTAGGTTAGATTACAATTAAGGAAAATTATGGTTAAGGTTAGACTAAATTACTGGATTCAGTTAGGGTTAGGTTAGACTAAGACTAAGATTGATGCTGTGGTAAAGGTAGATTAGGATTAGGACTAGATTAAATTACAATTAAGGGAAAATATACTCAAGTTAAGTTAGATCACAATTAAGGAAAATTATGGTTAAGATTAGACTAAATTAGTGGGTTCATTTAGGATTAGGTTAGACTAAGACTAAAGTGGATGCTGTGGTAAAGGTACATTAAGATTAAGGTTATGTTAGATTACAATTAAGGGAGATTAGGCTGAGGTTAGGTTAGATCAAAATTAAAGATAAATACGATTAAGGTTAAGCTAAACTACTGGATTCAGTTAGGGTTAGGTTAGATTAAGACTAAAGTTAATGCTGTGGTAAAGCTACATTAAGATTAAGGTTAGGTTAGATTATGATTGAGGTTGGTTATGGTTAGGTTAGGTTTTTCAACATGTTATCAGGATCATCTCTGGTGATGTCTATAGTAACCATGTAAACATGGTCTAACAAGCAACTATTAATGAAGAACTATTTCAAATCTTGCTCCAACCTTAAAAATTCTACAATTTCAACTTGCCAACGACTACAAATGATTACTATCAACCTCTTCAATTATCCTCGAAGTCTCCTTTCATCAGAGGCCTCAGAAATCTCTCCTACAGAAATCTGCCCCATTCAAAGCTTGACCGGGGGTTCGATTAATCCGTGGAGGCACGGATTAAAAGGCGTCCCGGTGCACCTCTTGATCCGACGTCGGTGTGTTTATACTTTATAGGTATCTTTGTAAGGTGACGTCACCGACACGAACGAATGGGAGGATAAAACCGGACTGACTGGTGGCGTTCTCCGAACGAGAGGTTCACCATACCGCGACCCACGATCGGCGACGATCCCGTGGAAAAAGAACAAACGTGAAATTAAACGAGGCTGCGTGTACAGTCCGAAATCATCGGATTCCCGCCACTCTCCACGAACAATGCATAATATTATCGCGGGTATTATGACAAGCTAATTACGCGTTATCTGACCGAACCGTGTGCGCACGCACCGGCTTTCGATAATTCCACTCGTAATTTCGTATGTACGATTAAATTCGAACGACAGTGAAGTGCACACAGATATTTTGCTCGGTTCGCCTCTTTTTATTATCCTTTCCAAGGTAAGAGAAGAGAGCTCGTGACCGGCATAACCGGGAGAAAGAAATCGAGGTCGAGGGAAAACGTGACAAACGTTTGGTCAAAATTCTTAAATCCAAATTCTTGAATACGCATGATGCAGTACTCATTTGCGGGAAACACGGATAATTTTACCTTTGCGATTTGTGAATTATATTAGCCGTTTGTATTATTTTGTTACGTTTCTAAATGAGAAATGGACCGTTTTCAAAGTCTTTGATAGAATAATTTTGAGTTAATTAGTATGGTTGAGTAATTATCGGGCAATCACCTAAATCGATCCACGTTCAAGGAGTGACAGCCACAACGTAAACCGCAGCAGCAACAGCACTCGCTTGACACATGTCACAATCGTGTCACATCACCCGACGCTCCGTCGCGAACGCCAGCCAATTCAAGACTGAGCGGCCGACGCGATTCGAATGCCGTCGAACCCGGCGGCTGACGATCGCGCCCGAACGCGACCGAGCGATCGCGAAGCTGTAGGCCGCGAAATTTGAAATGGCGATAATAGCACACTCGCTCTAATTGACGTTAATTTTCTTTCGTTGAAACTTCGGGGGCTTCAAGGTACTTCGAGAGGATTTTAAATGGTTGGGTAACTTCCGAATATCGTGTATTCGTTTTCGAACAGGAAAATGTAAATTTGTAGTTCAAACATGTAGGTGCTATCAATTGTTTCTTTTTTAATTAGCTTCATTTTTTAGAATTACAACGTTACTTTCAATCGAGAATTATTGTGGTAATATATAAATTCGAATAATTTTTATTTTGATTAAAATGAATGTCAAGTTACATATTATTTTATTCTTTGATGATTTTTATACTAGTTAATATAAATATAGTTCGTTACACTTAGGATATTTTATTATTTAATAGGTTGCGTTATTTATGTTCTCTTTAATTTATAGCTCTAAATTTATAACTCAAGGATAGAATTAAATACGCTCGATGATTCATGAGCAGACGTGATCCCTGACACAATACGCTATTCATAAACTATCACTAGGTATCAGTACATTCATTAACTTAGCAAGTAGTGCAAAAAATTACATGTAACTGGTTCATATACAAATTCGTCAAACATGCAGTAATAAAAAGTTAAATATTCTTTAGAATTATTCCGCTTTATTTTACAAACCTAGAAAACTTCATAGAACCATCTTAACATTAAAATAACGTTACATTTTTTTTTAATTTAAATATTTAAAAATGTGAGTGAATTTGTTACAATATTTTAACTATTTTTAATTATCGAACAATTCATAATATATTTTTCACAACAAAAATTTGTGAAAAAATTCAACAAAAATTCTATCAAAAATGAGTGCAAGTAATTTACAATTATTTAATCATTTATAAAGTCTAAAATTATAAGTATAAAATTTTAAATATAAAATGTATCTGAAAATGTATCTAAAAATGTATCTAAAAATGTATCTAAAAATCTACATAACTAAGATGGTCCCATAATCTAAATAATTCTAATCCTAATACAAAAATCTAAACATGCAGAAAAGAGAATACATAAACACAGAATAAAAATCACACAGTTAGCTAGCGTTAGACAGCGACAAACGTCGATTTTCATTGGCACTATTAAGCTCGACATTTTGTTGCACGATCGAAAAACGATCGAAACATGCCTCATGGTTGCACTTGCAGCTGCAACAGCATTCGTTCTTTCTGTGGCCATTCATCGAAGAAACCTCGATCGAACTCACCTTCCTCGCTTTTTCGAGGAAATCTTGCCCCTCCAGAGTTTCTTCCTTCTTGGTCGGCGACATCTCGATACCGCTATCCTCGTGATGCCGCGTGTACTCCTTCAAGAATAACGTGATATCCCTCGAAGTATCGGGGACCATGCGTGGCTTCTCCTCCTGGCTCAACTCGCATATCTTCGTGAATTTTATCGAACGTTCTGTATCGTCCGTTTTCGTTGACAACTCGTCTCTGCGGGTATACGACTCTGCTGTTGTGGAACGGAATTTCTCATTATTATTTGTCGAACTTGTTGTTGATAATGGATGAGTTTCTTGTTGAGAAATTTTTTGGGATACAGGGTGTTCCAAATTTGAAACATTGTCGGGTTCATATTTGAGGGATAGTAAGTTGAAAATTAGGGTACAGTAAATTTCAAACTTGAGATATAGGAGGTTTCGAATTTGGGATACGGGGAATTTCAAATTTGGGGCAAAGTGAGTTTAAAATTTGAGCTATAATAAGTTTCAAATTTGGAGCACAGAAAGTTAGAAAATTTGAAAATAGTATGTTTCAAATTTGGGAGATAGTGAGTTCAAAAATTTGGATAGAGAAAATTTTAAATTTGATATATAGGAATTTCCAAATTTGGGACATAATAAGTTTCAAATTTGAGAAATAGTAAATTTGAAATTTGGGATATAGGAAATTCCAAATTTGGGACACAATAAATTTCAAATTTGAGAGATAGTAAATTTGAAATTTGGGATATAATAAGTGTCAAATTTGGAATGTAGTAAGTTAAAAAATCGGGACAGAGAAAGTTCCAAATTTGAGATATAGTAGGTTTCAAATTTGGGACACAATAAGTTTCAACTTTGAGAGATAGTAAATTTGAAATTTGGGATATAAGAAGTTCCAAATTTGGGAGATAGTGAGTTCAAAAATTGGGATAGAGAAAGTTTCAAATTCGAGATATAAGGGGTTCCAAATTTGGGAGATAGTGAGTTCAGAAATTGGAATAGAGAAAGTTTCAAATTTTAGATACAGAAAGTTCCAAATTTGGGACACAATGAGTTTCAAATTTGAGAGATAGTAAATTTGAAATTTGGGATATAGTAAGTTTCAAATTTAGGATGTAATAGGTTCAAAAATTGGGATAGAAAAAGTTCCAAATTTGAAATATAGTGGGACAAATTTGGGACACAATAAGTTTCAAACTTGGGATACAATAAATTTCAAATTTGGAACACATTTTGCTCATTTTGCTCAGTAAAATGAATTTAATAGATTGAAATATATATAATTAATGAATGAATGAATGAAACTAATTGAAATTGTATATACTAAAATTCTAACTAAAATTCTTATCTCATAATCGCAATAATATTAAACTGATAGGCTGATTATACTTATTATTTCAATAAGACCACACTAGTAAAAAGAAATGCAACATTTATACAAAGAACATGATAATTCTCACTTTTCGAACCAGTTTCTATGTCATGATGTAATCCGTTCGTTTTCTCATGAACGTCCGGTGATATAATGCGCTCGATATCCTTGATTTCCTTGACATCCACGTTTTCATGATGATCTTGAGTGGTATTTGATATCACTTTATAGGACGCGATACCTAACCGAGTGTCGTGGGACACCCGCAGGGTCGTCGTTTCCGTTACTTCCTTCACAATTTTTCCAGAATTTTCCTGTAACCATAGATATATTTTTTAATTAATAAAAATTAAAACATTCAATGTTGCGAAATTTTATTTTATAATCATATACTAATGTTATAACAATATATGCAATATTATTACTGAATTTACTGTATGTCAATTTTACGTCAAATTTACTGTATGCGTAGAATTTGCCACAAGTAAAATTCTTCAGCGCTATATAACCACGTGCTAGATCCCCACTCGTTAGATAATTACGCGTTAGTTAACCGCGCGTTAGATAACCACGCGTTAATCGCCATGCCTTAAATTCGTTACACGTTAAATTCACTGCGCGTTTAATTTGCTATACATTGAGTTTTCTACGCGTTATACCGCCACATTAAGAGTGAATCAAACTATTCTCTACCTTATTGCGCTAATTGTCATACAATGTAAATATCATTCACTATCATTATATTAATACTGTATTAATATTAATATGTCACTTTGGAGTAAGAAGAATATCAAGTATTTCAACGTACATCTATTCTCCTCTCCAATGCTACGAGTTTCTCAACCTGTTTCTCCCCATTCATTTCGTAAACTTCAGGTTTGAGAGTTTCCATCGGTACAATATGTTTTTCTACTTTCTGACCCTTGGAAGCTTCCTCTTGTTTAATCACACATGTGGACACCGCTGCGTTTGTGGCAGTAATCTTTGGCTCCTCCATGTTCCAGCTTGGAAAACAAAATGGTGGAACAAGATTTAGTATTATTATTACGATTACTATTACTATTACTATTACTATTATTATTACTATTACAATTACAATTAGTATTACTCTTACTATTACTATTACTATTATTACTACTACTACAATACATTTATGACTGTTTATACGAATATCTATTAAAATTATCTGTCTCAGATCTTTAATTCTCAGATCCATTTAAAAAGCTATAATCTTACATTTAATTATAACTAAACAAAATAAATAAAAAATTTGAAGTTTCTAAAGAAATATCACTATTGAGTATATTTAAATAATTTACAACTAATGAAGGCTTAACTAGGTATTACAACAATTATTTGTTCCTCACCAATTTTCACATGCAATCGCTACAGTAGTTGCTGCAGCAAGATCTTCACATTCTGGAGATGTCACAAATGACTCACTTCTGGAACGAGCTGTCGGTGTTATGGAACATTCAGTAGCTGTCACATACCCATCTATGTTTGAATCTTCTGCCAAACTCTCGTCACAAGATTTATCGATGGCTTCCTGAAATTAACATATGTATAATAATGTTAACCAATTATTAAGTTACTTTTGAATTATTAATTTTGCATTACTCGTTGAGGTACATGTTGAGGTACATGTTAAGGTACATGTTAAGGTACATGTTAAGGTACATGTTAAGGTACATGTTAAGGTACATGTTAAGGTACATGTTAAGGTACATGTTAAGGTACATGTTAAGGTACATGTTAAGGTACATGTTAAGGTACATGTTAAGGTACATGTTAAGGTACATGTTAAGGTACATGTTAAGGTACATGTTAAGGTACATGTTAAGGTACATGTTAAGGTACATGTTAAGGTACATGTTAAGGAACCGCGCGTTAGATAACCACGCGTTAATCGCCATGCCTTAAATTCGTTACACGTTAAATTCACTGCGCGTTTAATTTGCTATACATTGAGTTTTCTACGCGTTATACCGCCACATTAAGAGTGAATCAAACTATTCTCTACCTTATTGCGCTAATTGTCATACAATGTAAATATCATTCACTATCATTATATTAATACTGTATTAATATTAATATGTCACTTTGGAGTAAGAAGAATATCAAGTATTTCAACGTACATCTATTCTCCTCTCCAATGCTACGAGTTTCTCAACCTGTTTCTCCCCATTCATTTCGTAAACTTCAGGTTTGAGAGTTTCCATCGGTACAATATGTTTTTCTACTTTCTGACCCTTGGAAGCTTCCTCTTGTTTAATCACACATGTGGACACCGCTGCGTTTGTGGCAGTAATCTTTGGCTCCTCCATGTTCCAGCTTGGAAAACAAAATGGTGGAACAAGATTTAGTATTATTATTACGATTACTATTACTATTACTATTACTATTGCTATTGCTATTACTATTACTATTGCTATTACTATTACTATTACTATTACTATTACTATTACTATTACTATTACTATTATTATTACTATTACAATTACAATTAGTATTACTCTTACTATTACTATTACTATTATTACTACTACTACAATACATTTATGACTGTTTATACGAATATCTATTAAAATTATCTGTCTCAGATCTTTAATTCTCAGATCCATTTAAAAAGCTATAATCTTACATTTAATTATAACTAAACAAAATAAATAAAAAATTTGAAGTTTCTAAAGAAATATCACTATTGAGTATATTTAAATAATTTACAACTAATGAAGGCTTAACTAGGTATTACAACAATTATTTGTTCCTCACCAATTTTCACATGCAATCGCTACAGTAGTTGCTGCAGCAAGATCTTCACATTCTGGAGATGTCACAAATGACTCACTTCTGGAACGAGCTGTCGGTGTTATGGAACATTCAGTAGCTGTCACATACCCATCTATGTTTGAATCTTCTGCCAAACTCTCGTCACAAGATTTATCGATGGCTTCCTGAAATTAACATATGTATAATAATGTTAACCAATTATTAAGTTACTTTTGAATTATTAATTTTGCATTACTCGTTGAGGTACATGTTGAGGTACATGTTAAGGTACATGTTAAGGTACATGTGAAGGTACATATGAAGGTACATGTGAAGGTACATATGAAGATACATGTTAAGGTACATGTGAAGGTACATGTTGAGGTACATGTTATGGTACATGTTGAAGTACATATTATGGTACATGCTAAGGTACATGTTGAGGTACATGTTGAGATACATGTTAAGGTACATGTTAAGGTACATGTTAAGGTACATGTGAAGATACATATGTAGGTACATGTTAAGGTACATATTAAGGTACATGTTATGGTACATGTTGAAGTACATGTTATGGTACATGCTAAGGTACATGTTAAGGTACATGTTGAGGTATATGTTAAGATGCATGTCAAGATACATGTTAAGGTACATGCTAAGGTACATGTTAAGGTACATGCTAAGGTACATGTTAAGGTACATGTTAAGATACATATTAAGGTACATGTTAAGGTACATCAATTTTAATTTTGATTACAAGACTAAAAAATATTCTGTAGTAAATAATCCACATTGGGTTCCACTGGGCAATCTCACTATTGGTATCATTACTGTTACTACATATATTCTTGTTATAATTACTACTATTACTATTCAGTTATTATAATTATCAAGAGCAATTTTACAAATATCTTTCCTTCACAACAATTATCCCTCCACAATTCACAATTAATAATCAGACTTCTAAAACAGCCTCAACTAATTTTAAGCACTTCTATTTTTCACAACGATCATCTCTTCACAGTTCACAATTAATAATCAGACTTTACAGCCTTATTTCCAGACTAAAATACCTTTATTTTCAAAAGTGAAAATAATGTATGAAAAGTATGAAGTAATATAACTGAAAACGAACCTTTTTAAGACTTCAACATTCACTCACCTCAACATCATTTTTCTCTGGATATTCAGCTTCATCCCCAACATCTTGTACATCACCTTCCATCTTCTGATCTTCGCTCTTCTCCACCTTTTCCCCATTCCCACTTACAACTCCCACGTTCGGTGACACAGGTCTCTCCACAGGTTTCGTGCTCTTCAAAACGGTGCAAACCCCTTTCGTTCCAAACGGCACCATACTCTCCGACGAGCTGATCAACGGCATCGAACTCGCAGCACCAATCGATGATATCGTACTCGAAATCGGTTGACTCTGTACAGTAGACGATGATACGACAGTCGTCGTTGGTTGATTCGAAAAAAGTGAAGAAGTGGAGGACATCGCGGAGGATGACATAGGAACTGGTCGAGTCCTGGCTCCAGCCTCGCAAAGTCTCGCGTCCAGTTTCTCGGCGAGTCGCGTTACTTCCGCCAACCTCGCCGAGATCGATTCCACCGCTGTCAGGTTACTGCCTTTGCCCGAGGCATCCTCGGCTTCAGACATTCTAGAAAAAATAAATTTCCGTCGTTTACGTCGGTCTATTTATAGGGATCCTGGAACGTGTGCGCCGGTGTCCACGTGCGATTTGTCAGTTTTACGCTTGTAGTCGAGGGGAACTGATTTCATTTACTCTGATCGGGAAAGGATTTATAGGGAGTTAGGATTAAGATTAGAAAGGATTTTTTTGTTCTTTTATGCTGTTAGGGGGAATGGTTAGGGGATTTATAGTGTTATGCTCGGATTTATAGGGAGGTTTTTTATGGATTGGATTTATAGGGAGTTGGAGGGTGGAAGTCAATGTGGATTGATAATTTATATACAGGGTGAGAAGGTTAGGATGTGTCATTTGCATATGTGAAAAATTATAAAATACTAGATTATTAAATTTATTTTTGAGTAGATGATTAAATCATTACATTTAGTTTAATGTAGAAATTAAATCAGCAAAAATTTCATACAAAATTTCAATGAAAGTTTCATTAAAGACCTCATCCAGAATTTTATAAAATATTTCATCAAATGTTTCATAGAAAATTTTAACAAAAAATTCACAATAATTGCATAAAAAATATCTTGAAGTATTCCATACAAAATTTCATGAAATATTTTATGAAATGTTTAAAAGAAAATTTCATAAAAAATTTCATGAAAAAATTCATAAAAATTACATAAAAAATGTCTTCAAGTATTCCATCAAAAATTTGATTAAAAAAATATAAAGGATTTCGCAAAAAATTTAATAAAATATTTCACCAAATGTTTCATAAAAAACTTCATAAAAGAACCTCATCAAAAACGATCCAAAAATTGCATAAAAAATATTTCTTCAAAAATTCCATCAAAAACATCAAAAAAATTCATAAAAACATTTACCAAAAACTTTAAAAAATTCCATCAAAAATCTCATCAAACTCTTCACCAAAAATTTCATAAAAATAAATAAAAATGTCCTAATAAACAAATATGCATAAAACAATTATTATAATAGCTAAACAATTATCAACATAATATATAAAGAATTATTTGTATAATCTACATAAAAGAATTCTTTTTTGTTTCTCTTTTTAATCGAAAGTTATCGATCATAAGTATCAGTTTATAGTTGGATATCCTGTGGCAAATTGAGAAAACGTCAAATTTCAAAAGCAAATTACGTAATGAGTAGTGACAGCGTCGCGGACCAGATGGTGCTTGCAATGTGGGGCGAAGTTCTAATTTCGGTGAACTGAAAGCCATCGAATCTTGCGGAGTGTCAAGTTTTACCGGCAATTTTAATCTCTACTTCGAGTTTCAAAATTTCCTTGTGATTTACGTACTTAAATTTCTGTTATCAAAAATAACTTTGATTTCACAACATTATTTGCACAAAAGTGATATATTAGAATTATTGATAATATTGGTACAGAAAATTGAATAATAAATTGTAAACAATTTAAGAATTTTGTCACAAAGTCATGTCATAAAATTGTGATTAAATATGTACTACTTATTTTGATATATATTGTACATTATAGACTATAATATTTATTATAGATTTTAATAATAAAGTTCATAACGTATTATATTTATGAAGTAATACAATTCCCTGAGTTTCTAAAAATTATTTCTAAAAATCGAAGATTTATTTTTAAAAAGTCCCACCTACAATCAATTTCATCTACAATCACACAGAACTTATAAATAATAAAACCCTCGAAATTAAAATTGAACAAAAGATTAATACCAGAAGTACCTAATTTTTGCACAAGCTATGGTTCAGACTGCATATTACAAATAATGATAAACTAATTTAATGTGCGTAAATAATGATTATAAATTCCGAAGGAAAAATGATCCTGACCGATCTATAGAACGTTAAGAATGAAGATCAGCTCCTAAAATAACGAGTGGAAATTTTCGAGCATGAATGATCGAAGGCGTTCTGTCGTCGATCAGATTTTGAAGTTTGCTCGAAAGTGGATCGCGGCCAACGGGTTCTCGTTGGAAGCAAAACGACCACGTGTCGACGTTTAAACACCGCGAACAATGGCGAGTCTGAACGATAAGAATTTCAAACAGCTGATGCAGAAACAAGAAGAAAACCGAATCGAAAATTTCGTGTGTTTCACTGGATGATTGCCAAGAGAGCGCACACTCCAGCCTTTGAATTTTGAATCTTGTGTTGATCTTTGTTGCGGTTTTCAAAGGTGTACCAGAAGCGGATGATCCGTGCGTAACGATTTCGTGGCCCTGACCGTCCACTGCGGGTGAAAATAGGACTCTGAAACGGTGGCGGTCTACGAAGAGGAGACGCAGGTGACCCATATTTATCGCACGTGGGTGAACGATGATGTTGGATTGACTACATAGTTGTGGTTTGTTTTCGGGTGACATTGTAAGCTATTGCAAGATCAGAGACATTAAACATATTCAGAAATGTCAGAAATATTAAACGTATTCAAAAACATCAGAAACATTAAAGATATTCCGAAATATCAGAAATATTAAACATATTCAGAAATAGCAGAAATATTAAACATATTCAGAAATAGCAGAGATATTAAACATATTCAAAAACATCAGAAACATTAAACATATTCAGATATATCAAAAATATTAAACATATTTAAAAACATCAGAAACATTAAACATATTCAGAAACATCAGAAATATTAAAAATATTATGAATATGAAAATATTCACTGAAGGCAATTGGTCAACAAGTTTAGTATCATTTTATAGTTTGTCAAAGTTAATTGATGTTAATATTAAAATTCTCTGAAAGGTTTTAATAAATTGTTTGCCTTATGTGGTTGAAATATAACTTAATGTAATACATGTGACAAGTTATTAACATTATTCTAAATTGAAATAAACTTTAAAGTAATATAAGATTAATGTAATCATAATGTTCACCTAATATTTTCGCAGATATAACGAACCTTAATTTCAACCTAACCTAACTGTCACCGGAAAAGACCTTAATCTAACCTAACTGTCACCGGAAAGACCTTAATCTAACCTAACTGTCACCGGAAAGACCTTAATCTAACCTAACTGTAACTCTAAAGAACCTTAATCTAACCTAACTGTAACTGTAAAGAACCTTAATCTAACCCAACTGTAATTGTAAAAACCTTAATCTAACCTAACTGTAATTGTAAAGAACCTTAATCTAACCCAACTGTAATTGTAAAAACCTTAATCTAACCTAACTGTAACTGTAAAAACCTTAATCTAACCCAACTGTAACTGTAAAAACCTTAATCTAACCTAACTGTAATTGTAAAGAACCTTAATCTAACCTAACTGTAACTGTAAAGAACCTTAATCTAACCCAACTGTAATTGTAAAAACCTTAATCTAACCTAACTGTAATTGTAAAGAACCTTAATCTAAAGTAACCATAATTGTAAAGAACCTTAACCTAATCTAACTAAAACCGTAAACTTAACTTAACCTAACTATAATCATATACAACCTTAACCTAACCTAATTATAACCATATACAACCTTAACCTAACTAAACTATAACCATAAACAATCTTAATCTAACCTAACTATAACCGTTAAAATAACCCCACATTTCCGATTGAGAAAAAAATTTTTTATTTTGTTGAAAATGTCACACTCAAGATGTACAAGTTGTTTCATAAATTGTAAAGTTATTTGAACAAGAATTTGAGAAAATATGTTAATGTAACGCATGATCTAGACCTACAGTTCTTGACCCTTAATTGGTGACACACTATTTGTGTCACATAACAGGTGATGTTGGATCAATCGTACTACACAACAATAAACACAAAGTCCAAAGTCAATATTAACTTTCAAAGTCCAAATACAATACTAACATAAGAATTCTTATAATGACATATTATTACAAAATATAAATAATCGTAACAATATAAATAATCTCATATTACTGTTAGGGAAGTGTTCACACATGATATAAATATACACACCCTAGATACCATAAACACCCTTCCATATTCCAGAAAACCCTCTTTTCTTATTCCTAAAGAATTTATTATTCCAAATATTCCAAAGAATTACATTTTCCAAAAAATAGAAATAGTTAAAAGAAAATTAATAACTTTTTTCCTAGTCCACAATTTGGAAGAATCTATCTGAACCTCCAATTTCAAGAATTTCCCAGAAACCTTAGCGATATTAACATTTGAAGCTAAAATAGAAACACAATCTAAATAAGTATATCCATAAATATTCCCAGTTGTAAGAGGAAGTTAAAATTGCAATAACAAACGGTAGCGAAACGTGCAGCCGTCAAAGTGTTCGAATAAATCTCATAATGGTGCCATCTTTCACATAAGCGCCTCTGAACATGTGGCCAACTTATCTTAAAATAAGTCTAATTCAGTAGGACCTATATACATCGTAAAAACTACTAAGAACATATGATTTGCATACAAAAAGTTTGACTATGAGAAATATAGAATACAAGTTGGAATTAAAAATTTGAATTAAAATGTGTGGAGTTTTGATAAGTTTGAATTGGAAGCGTTTAGATCGATTCTAGGAACAGCGATCGAGGGCAGAGGCCAATTATCGTATTTCGAAACGATTCGACTTACATGCAGCAATATCAAGGTGTGTATCTGGTCGACGTGCAGCCATGGACTGACACGCAGTGCCTCCGTTAAAAACGGAGGTGCCGTCGACGTACAGCTTGCCCTCCTCGCTTCATATTGCCAGCTCCACCCGCCGTATCTCTCTTTGTTACGTATCCTGCTCTTTTCGATCCGAGCACGTTTTATTGCTTTAACCCGAATGCAACGCGATATAAACGGGGAGAATTCAAGGGTTCAGGAAGCTTGGAAATTCGAGCGACTTGCCAGAAGCTTGATGGCTGGATATGAGAGGTTTATGGGTTTTTGAAACTCTCGTTTTGCATAATTGGGATTTGCAAAAGGAATTGTTTGAGCAATTTTTTATTGGAGGTTTTTGGGAGGAAATATTTGGTCTGATTAGTTCTTTTTATAATTCAATATTTTTCTTGTATTTTTTTTTCACTTTTGAATTTTTGCACAGGTCTTTAAGTTAAAAATTAATGGAAGAAAAATTTTATTTTCATGTTTATGTGTGTTTTAATTATCCTGTAATGTTCTTGAAGTATATGAAGTATATGAAGTATATGTTCTTGAAGTGATTTGAACTATGACGTAAATTATACAGAAACAGTATATGAAAGCTATATAACTGAGTATAAGAGTTATACAACTATGAACAAAAATTATAAGCTAATTATAGCTATCTCATAAAGCTATGATCCCATAAAACGATGAAACTTCAGCACTATAAGACTATATCTTGTCTCATTTACTTCAAAGTTTATCTGCTGTACCATTCACAATTACTTTTCATATTTATACTTGTGCTATATCAAAGGAATAGTGCTATAAATAATTAATATCTGAAATAATGTTACAATTAGTAATTCTATTTAGTTGGAAGTATCAAACGAGTTTTAATTTTGTGCGTTTTTCGAATGTACAGTATGAAGCGTTTGAAAAACGCGCCACTGGCGCCAGGCGGTGGCGGGAAGTTCAAATAACAGAGAGTTGCTTTTATCGAATACCAAATGACTCTAACACTTCTGTGAAGTTTGGTACACTGTTTTACAAGTGAAATTTATTATAATTAATACTATTATACATCACTTAAAAATATTGAAAATTAAATAATTAAATTAATAGAAAATTAAAAGTATTTTATTTACGAGATATGTGCTATTGACATCTACTGTTGACGCGATGGAACTAATTGAACTAAACCTTGTATTACCATCATTATATTACTTGTTTTTATCAGATGCCCATTAATTAGATAAAATATGCAGTTTTAAAGAATTTGTTTTACAGTTTCCATCACCAAAGTTTTCTTTCAAGATACATGTAATCGTACTTGCCGTTGATGGCACAATGGTTCCTTCAATCTGGTTCTCAAGAGGCGACCCAACCTCACCATCCGTCCAACTTCCAGAAGCAGCTTCTCCCTGTTACCCAATATATCTCTGATTTCCGCTCTGGCTCTGCTTTCGGCAGCCAAATCCTCTATTCTCGAAGATCGGCGTAGCAAACCAACTGCTTCTATCAAATCGCGCAGCTTCGAGCAATGCTTCAGAAAATATATAAACAATTACACAAGAAAATGAATATATCTGGACAAATATTGAAATAGTTATTGTTCTTGAGAGGAAACGTTGAGTTATGATTTTAGAATGTTACTTTTAATGACCATTGTACGTACATCTTCAACGCTTCGATGGAAAACCGCACACACTCTCAGCCTAGTTAATTGTTCCTGACCAACGGAACGAAGCTGTTTCCAGGCTTGTCGCAACCTTGAGAACAGACTTGCGTTACTTTCCAGTGGCAACCTGCAGGACAACCTCAACACTCGAGCTCCGTTCACCAATTGACAACCGTAATCGTATGTTCCCTGGAAATTCGAACACTGAAATGTGATATGTCAGCTTCTGATGCTTAAACTTTATGAATTTGTCATTTTAAGAATATTTAGTGTGCAATCATTATATGTAGGTTTCGATAATATTAGTGACAGTGTTGGTAGACGAAAATTAATTTCATAAATTTATTTCGAGTTACTTTTGTTATTAATTATAAAAATAGAAAAGGTATTGCATTTACAGGGTGTCTCGCAACTGTAGGTCCCTGAAATGGTAGCTGACGTGATTCTGAACAAGATTTCCCTTTGCAAAAATGGGGTTTGAAGCTTCGTTTTTGAATTATTAAAGAAAAACACGGACCAATCAGAGCGCGAGGATTACGCATGCGCAGACGCGGGAACGGCAGCTTCGGATAACGCGTAGTTATCTAACGCGTTGTAATCCAACGCGTAGTAATGCTACGTGTGGTAATGCAACGAGTGGTAATCCTATGCGTAGTAATCCAATGCGTAGTAATCCAATGCGTAGTAATCCGACGCGTACTAATACAGCGTGTGGATATCCAACGCGTAGTAATCTAGCGCATGCATATTCTACACATAGTAATTCAACGCGTAATAATGCAACGCGTGGTAATTCTAATCGTAGGAATATAATACGTAGTAATAAAACGCGTAGTAATCCAGCATGTGGGTATCCAACGCGTAGATATTCGACGCGTAGTAATGTAACGTGTGGTAATGCAACGCGTGGTAATCCTACGCGTAGTAATCCAAC